GGACAACCTCACCCCGTCCTCCAAGCACGAGCCCCATGCCCGACGTACTGCACAAGTAGCGTAACACCCTCTTAGCAGCATCCATGTGCTCTCGCCGATGTCTTCCAGGCGCAAGGTAGTGAGCCAGGATGCTAAGAGGGTAGGCAAGGTCAGGTCGAGTGCAGGTCATCAGGTACATGAGGCAGCCAACAAGCTCTGGATACGGGCCACTCGGCTCTACGAACTCGTCCGAAGGTGGAGCTGAGAGCGAGTGACCGGTAGGCAGAGGAGTGGACTGTGGCAAGGAGTACTGGAAGTCGAAGCGCTGAAGGACCTGGAGCACCATGTGTCACTGAGTCAAGGTAATGGTGCGCCGTGCTCTCTCCCGGGTGATATGAAAGCCAAGATAGACTGCGCAGCTCACCCAGGTCTGTGCACGTGTGTCTCTTCTGCAGCTCCGACTTCACGTAGGCCAGTCCAGCAGTGTCAGCAGTGGCCGTCGACGTACACGAGGATGTAAAACGGCGGCAGCGAAGTGTTGGTGCAAAGAAACAGCGACGGGTCAGCAGTAGAAGGAGCAAGCCCAAGAGCCGCAAGAGTCGTCCTCAGTGTGTCGTGCCACTCGCGAGGCGCCTGGCGGAGATCGTAGACTGGCCGCCGGAGGCTCCACTAGGTACCTGTAGGAAACGACCCAGTGAAGCCAGGTGGGCGGCACAGCCAGATCTCCTCGTGCAGGCTGCCCTGTAGGAAAGCAGTGCTGAAGTCAAGAGAGTGAAGCTCGTAGTCACGCTGAGCAGCGACGTGCAGTAGTACCCGAAGAGTGGTCATCTTTGGGGTAGGGGAGAAGGTCTGGAAGAAGTCAACTCCCTGTCGCTGACTGAAGCCTCGTGCAACGTAACGCGCCTTGAAGACAGGCGGAGAACCCGGCGGCCGCTTCACCCTGAAAATCCACATGCCACTGACGATGTTCGCCCCAGGTGGGGGAACCTCGTCGACGTAAGTGCTTGTGGACTTCCAGGATGCCATCTCTGCGTCCATGGCTGTCTGCCACTGAGAAGAGTAGGGACCCGAAATCGCCTCTGCGTAAGTGCGCAGAGTCCGGATGTCTGGTGCATCCGGGTCTCCCTCAGATGCAATCAGCATGGACACGAGATGAGGTATAGCAGCTGCAAAGCACTCAAAGTCCTCCTGCCTGTCCTCAAGGACGTCCGTGCCAAGAGCACACTCACCCCCGACGGACGGAGGACAGACAGACTCAGACTCAGCAACAAGACTAGCGGCGTAGTCGAGACGACAGGCGGCAGAGCTCAGCAACTAAGGCAGACGCAGCAGTGGACTCAAACGAAGGGTCAGTGACAACAGTGGCCAGAAGCCAAGGAAGCCTTAGCGATAGTCACAACCTTCAAGGCGTGGAGGTGTTACCTCGAGGGAGCCAAAATCACAGTCTACGCTGACCACTGTAGTCTCAAATACCTTAAGTCTCAGCCTACGCTCTCACGACGACATGTGCGGTAGATGGACTTACAGGAAAATCGCTTCCACTACGTCATTGTCTAGAAGCCAGGGCTACACAGCAGGGCATGTAGCAGGCATCCAGCTCGATAGGGATGAACCCTTGTGGACGCAGAAATTGCTAGAGCACAGAAGCAGAAGTTGGAACGGTGGGAGAAAGACTTGGCGGTAAGGAAAGGTTCACGAAAAAAATTGGGTATCGAACTATGCCCCACCCCGACAGATCTACTAGAGGAGCTTCTCGACGTAGCATAGGCGGGACATTTCGAGAGCAACAAGATGTTAGTGGAATACCAAAATATTACTACTGGCCCAGATGGCGGCAGACGTGCAGCAATTCGTCACCCCATGGGACATGTGCCAGCGAATGAAGCGTAGCAAGCAGAATAATGCAGGACTACGTCAGCCTCTACCCGTACCGGAGCATCCATGGCAAGTTGTTAACCTAGATTTCATTACTGCGCTTCCTTTGACCTCACGACGGCATGATACTATACTCGTGGTGATCGAAAAGTTTTCTAAGATGAGACATTTCATCCCAACCAATGCCACGGCTACAACTGAAGCAACTGCTCGCCTCTTCTTCGACCGCATCGTCACCATCCACGGCATCCTCGCTACACTCATCTTGGACAGGGACCCAAACTTCACAAGTAAGTTCTGGAGGGAACTCATGGGTATGTTGGGGACATAGCTTGCGATGCCTTCAACGTACCATCGGTCAAACGGAGCGACTAAATCAGGTGGTTGAATAGTTATTGCGCACCGCTTGTAAAGATGACATCAGCCACTGGAATCTACAGTTACCGATGCTTGAGTTCGCTTACAACAACGCATTTCATGCGACCGCAGGGAAATCTCCTCTATTTTCCTGTGTTACGGGCATGAGCCAATCATACCACAGCAGCCAACCAGGCCGACACACGTCCATGCCGCTCATGACTTCGTCACCACGATGTAGAAGATATGGGAGAAGACTCAACGACGTCTCACAACGAAAGCAGTATGCAGATCGACAGCGACGAGATCACTCTATAGCAGTCGGAGATCATATGTTTCTCGATACACCCAACCTGGACTTGTCTCATCATTCTTTCAAGCTCCGGCCTCGCTTCTGTGGTCGTTGAGACCATGGTGACACCCCAGTTACATTCCGCTTTCGTTTATCGAGTACGTGGAAGCTTCACAAATCTTCCCATGTTGAGCTACTGAAGCCCTACAATTGACCCCAACCAACAGTTACAGGGACAAAATCCGCCGCCACCGCCACCTATTCTTGTACATGATGAACTCGAGTACGAGGTGGAACGTGCCCTCGTTCATCGATGCAGACGCGGCAACACGCTGGAGTTCCTGATACGCTGGAAGGGATATGACCCATTGGAGGACTGTTGGGATGCAGAAGCTGATATGGGCAATGCACGCCATGCTCCCAAGGATTATCTTCTCAAACAGGGTGTTTCTCATGCCACCCAACTTTGAGGGGGGGTCGTGTGAGAGTACGATGGCTCTGCCTTACCTTTATTATCTTCCCTTGCATTATAGTGATAATTTTCTATTTTCATTGGTTAAGTTCTTAGTTTTGTTGCTGAACTATATGTATTATAATTATTGGTACCGAACTAGTTACATGCACTGAATACTATGCGTTTCAGTTGCCACCAAGAAGCTTCTACCGTACTTGGGAAGGACCCGTTCGGGACGCTTCACGACCCTCGGAACCTTCTCGTAACATTCTGGTTACTGACCTTGTTTCGTGCCTATGTATATCCCCTTAGTTGTCCCCTTGATTCATTAATCATTTTCTGGACTCGGTCCTTCATCCTCACAAGGAAGACAGCAGGTGGCCTAAGTGTGCGGGACAACAAGAGTAAGCGATTGTGATTGAGGAGGAGAGAAAACAAGCATGGATGAGTCAGGAGGAGGAAGACCGTGTGCAGTAGGAGGCCGAAAAAAATTCTGATAGCGTATAGCGTATTAGCTAGCGTATTGCGTTTTGCGTACACACGCTAGCGTGTATACGCTATACGCTTTAGGGTTTGAGCGTATATTCCCACTAAGGGTCAGTCAGAGGCATCGTGCAGGTCAGTCAGAGGCATCGTGCAGGTCAGTCAGAGGCATCGTACAGGTCAGTCAGAGACATCATGCAGGTCAGTCAGAGGCATCGTGCATGTCAGTCAGAGGCATCGTGCAGGTCAGTCAGAGGCATCGTGCAGGTCAGTCAGAGGCATCGTGCAGGTCAGTCAGAGGCATCGTGCAGGTCAGTCAGAGGCATCGTGCAGGTCAGTCAGAGGCATCGTGCAGGTCAGTCAGAGGCATCGTGCAGGTCAGTCAGAGGCATCGTGCAGGTCAGTCAGAGGCATCGTGCAGGTCAGTCAGAGGCATCGTGCAGGTCAGGGGGGCGCTGCCTTGGGGTGCATGGGCTGGGCTCAGGTGGCTGTCAGGTCAGGTCAGTACAGGGCAGGGGCTCACTGCGCTGAGGGGGGACACGCTGTCATGAGGGCGGGGAAAGTGGGAAGCACAGTGGCAAGAGGGGGCAAAAGGGGATGGAGGGGGGCCGTGGGGCAGTGGCATCAGGCTTATGGGGGAGCTGAGGGGAACGGAGGGTGTGAGATGGGCGAGGGCATGTTTGTGTCTGCATGCGCGCCTACCCTGCATTCTCCTCCTGCCTGCACGTGCCCTGCCTGCTACACTGTTCCCATGAATCCGCACCTGGTGCTGTTCCCCAGACCCTGGCTCTACTGTTCCGTCCCCTCCCTGCTTCATGCACGATGCCTACTCTTCTCCACTTTGCTGTTTCCCCACTCTTCTCGAACATATGCTACTTGCAAGTGGGGTGTTGAGGTTCTCCCTTCATACCCCCCAGCACTGTTTTCACCCCGCTGTCCTGTTTCCTTCAACCACCATTCTTCCCCCTCCCCCTTTTTCCCTTCCGCTCTCCTCGCCCCCTAATCTCCCCTCCTCTCCGTCCCAGCTGTCTCCAAGCGTGTGGGCGCGGCAGGTGTTCAACGCCACGACATGCACAGTGTTGAGACAACTCAACGGCCACACAGAGAATGCATGCACGCCCAAGCTCACTTGCACATGCACCAACCCACCCACCCACCCACCCACGCACCCACCGACACACACATCGCTTCCAAATGCCCAGCCCTCCGTGTGGCCTCTCGTTCCCTCCCATTTCCGACCGCTTTCTCCTTGTTCGCCCTCGTTCCCTGCCTTCCATTTCGGCGACAACCTTGATCCGTTACACCCCAGCGCTCCTTTTTGGACAGCACTCTGAGCTGCTGGGACGTCATCTTCCACGTCCATGCTGCTGGCTCTCTCTTCTGCTACTTTCCAGTGTCCCTGCTCCTTCTCCTTCTCCTTCTCCTGCTCCTGCTCCTTCTCCTGCTCCTGCTCCGCTCCTTCTCCCGCTCCTGCTGCACATGGCATGCTACGGCTTGCCTCCATTCTCCACTCGTAATGCCTCCCACATTGGGACCGCCCCTCGACTCTCCACTTGTAACATGCAGCTGTTTCGTCCTACCATCTACCATACCTTCACCATTCATACACCCTGCCACACCACACACTCGTCCTCCCACAGGCCTCACAGCATCTTCGCTTCTTACTCGCCCTCTCTGTCCCCTCCATCCTTCACCTTTCTCCTATCTTCCCTCCCCTCCCCTCCCCTCCCCTCCCCTCCCCTCCCCTCCCCTCCCCTCCCCCCCTCCCCTCCCCTCCCCTCCCCCCCTCCCCTCCCCTCTCCTCCCCTCCCCCCCTCCCCTCCCCTCCCCTCCCCCCCTCCCCTCCCCTCTCCTCCCCTCGCTGCCAATACTCTCCTGGGCACAGCCACTCCCGACCCCCTTCTCTTGTCTGTGCACGCTTCAATCAGCCCATCCTCAATCAACCCTTTCTGTTCCCCATATGTTCCACCCATCATCCCCCTATCCCGTCCAGTTCCCCCCCTCTCTACACCAACACTATGGGGATCACCGAGTGGGGCAGCACAAGGGCGTGCATGTGGCACCCACAGCAAGCACCACCGCATCCCACTCCCCTCTCCCAAGTCCTTCCCAATCCCATCCCTGCAACCACCCCTCTCCCATGTGCATGTATGCCAGGCGTTGCCTACCTAGCGGTGCAGAGCAAGCACGTGCATGTGGCAGGAGAGTGAGAGCATGGCGAGTAAAGGGAGGCAAGTGTGTGCGGTAACAACAGCAGATTAACATGTCCATGCTCCATGATGCCTCGCATGGCAGCAGGGCAGCAGCGCCAGGGCAAGACCTGGTCATGATGCGGCAGCGCCCCACATAGTGGCGGACGACCCAGTGGCTCCCCGTAGCCGTGGCGGTGCATGAGAGCCCCTGGCGGGCGGGCGGTGCACAGCAGCAAACTGCAGCGCTTCCAGCCGCCATGCAGGATGCATCGCTCGAAAACCCCCGAGGTCAGCTGCTGCACGTGGGGGAGGAAGGAAAAGGGAGGGAGGGATATGGGGCGAAGGGGGAGAGGGGGAAAGGGGAGGGGAGGGATATGGGGCGAAGGGGGAGAGGGGGAAAGGGGAGGGGAGGGATATGGGGCGAAGGGGGAGGGGGGGAAGGGGAGCGGAGGGGAGGGGAGGGGAGGGGAGGGGGGATTATTGTGGTGGGTGCATGTCTGTTCGGTCATCTGCTGCTCTCAGAGCCGCCATGCAGGCCGTGTTTGCTGGGCGAGAGGGGAGAAGAGTGATATGGGGGGAAAGGCGGAACGAGGGGGGCTGCTGTTGTTCCTTAAAGTCCCTTGCCTCCTTTCTCCCTGCTCCCTGCATGTTGATCCTGATATATGTGCTCCTCGCCAGTAGCAAGGAGATGCTGTGCCGTCTCCCCGCTACTCCCTCCATAAGAGGTTTGCTTTTCTCTCCCTCTCTCCCCTCCTTCCCACCCACCTGTCCTCCCCTCCCATTCTCCTCACAGATGCTGGTGGCGATGATTGCTCCAACCTCCACCCACACTTCCTCCCTACCTCTCCCTCCGCCCCCTTCTCTCCATGCCCCCTCCCCCCTCCAAGCTGCTGGTAGCGGTCTTGGAGGAGATAATGGCAAGTCTGCGTTTGCCTCCCTTTCGCCCCTCTCATTTCATCCCCCCACCCTTCTGTTCCACCACTCCCTCTCCCCCCTCTCCCCTCCCTTGGCAGATGCTGGTGGCGGTGTTGGAGAAGGTGATAGCTCCAACCCCCACCCACCCGTCCAAGCTGCAGCTTGCCGTATGTACCAAAGGGCGTTGTTCTTTTTATGGGAAGCACTTCTTTCTAGTTGTGTTTGCCTTTCCTCCCACGCCAAGCTGCAGCAGGGGGTGCGTACACTGTATCCAAGGGAGCTCTTCTTTCAACTTGTGTTTGTCTATTGGAGTCTTCTGCAGCAGTTTTGCCGCTTGTGCTTGTTTTTGTTTTCTGGCTCCTCCACACTCATGCCAACTTCCCTCCAACTCTGCAGCCATGCTTCCCTCCATTCACCCCCTTCCTCCTCTCCCCCCTTTTTTGGCTTCACACTTTGACTCCCCACCACCAAAACTATCACCCTTCACCAACAACCCCCCATCCCTTTCCCCCCTTCCCTGCCAGTTCCACATTCTAGCGCAGGTGGTGGGGGCGGAGGCGCATGCTTCCGTCTATTCATCCCCTTCCTCCTCTTCCCCTTTTTGCCCCCCCCCCCCCAATTCCACATTCTAGCGCAGGTGGTGGGGGCGGAGGCGCATGCTTCCGTCATCCCCTTTTTGCCCCCCCCCCCCCCCCCCCCCCAAGTTCCACATTCTCGCGCATGTGGTGGGGGCGGAGGCGCATGCTTCCGTCTATTCATCCCCTTCCTCCTCTTCCCCTTTTTGCCCCCCCCCCCAGTTCCACATGCTAGCGCAGGTGGTGGGGGCGGAGGTGGTGTTTGTTGTTCATTCCTTCTGTCCCCTTCCATGCTTCCCCCCTTCCCAGTTCTACATCCTGGCACATGTACTTGGAGCGGAGGCGCATGCGCTGGCCGAGCTGGCAGAGCTGCAGGGCTTTGTGCTGCCGCTGTTGCGCGCCTCCACTGCTGCCAACGCCACCGCCCACACAGACGCAGACGGCCTCGCCGCTGCTGAGCGCTGGAGGGCGGCATCACGGAGAATGACGTTTGTGTGCTCTGGTGTGTGCCTTAGCTTAGGGGAGGGGTCCCAACGATGCTAAACATTGGACTGGGGTGGGGTGTGGTGTTGGGCTGAGAAAAAAATCGAATGAGTCTTTATCATATCACAGTATGATTCTTCATGTTATCAAAATTGGTGTAAATACGGTGCGTTGAGACATGGTACGGTTGAGCATTGGAATCATCAGGCTAGACTGTCTGTGACAACCATTTCGGGGAAGCTGTCTCTAATCAGGCTTTCTACATCTTCAGTTTCCGTTGCTATCATCTGGACTCTCTTGAGCCCGTTGAGCCACTTGACGCCGTCAGCAGTGATTTTGGCATCCCACAGCCCCAGCTTCTCGAGGCGCTTCATGTTTCTCAGCAGCTTCAAACAGGAATCGGTCACCTCTGGAGGCAAGCTGAAGAGCTTGAGGGAGGAGAGAGCAGTCAAGTGTTTCAGCCCGTCCTCCCCCACTGCAGTGCCATTCACCCAGAGGTTCTCCAGTGAGATCAGTTTTGCCACGTGCACCATGCTGGCACAGGTGACCGACTCACAACCATATAAACCCAACGACACAAGTGCAGTCAACCCCCTCAGCTTCGCTATTCCTGCATCGGTTATCTTAGTCAAACCAAGATAAAGTGTGTTAAGTTTCTTCAGGCTGCTAATCCCTTCAAGAGAAGCGTCCGTTGCCTTTGCCTCCGCCAGATCCAGATATGTGAGACCTGTGAGGGAGAAGAGCTGCGTCACCCCCTCTGCAGTGAAGCCGGAAGATTCACAAAGGTTGAGCGACGTGAGAGAGTGCAAGGAGGTGAGCGAGTATGCGGTGTTCATGCCGCCCCGTGCCGTGGTGCTGGAGTTGCGGCCGCAGGGGGCGTAGGGGAGCGAGTATGCGGTGTTCCATCGGCTGGCGGATGCGTGTGGGTTGGATTACCGTACCACCTGCTGCTGTGTCAGGGGGAGGTGCCCTGGAGAATGGGGCTAGGGAATATGAGCAGAATTGTGGAGGTGTTGAGAGGGATAGCAGAAAATTTTGGAGAACGAGACGTTGTAATGTACGGTAGTAGTGCACAATAGAATGCTTCATTTCCACTTTTATATATATCATAGTAAGCATCGATGATTGATGGGGATGGTGAGAAAAATACAGAGCAGATTTAGACAAAGCTACTTATTCTAGAACAACTATACTATTTTTGTGATGGGTCCTTAGCCATGACAATTATCGATTTCCTCCGTAGGTAATGTGTGTGTCGCGTACAATGCCCACACGTCCGCTGCTTGTCACGCCTTCAAAATCTGACAGTTCATCGAAATTCGATGATGCTTGCGTTTCGGCTGGTTCAAATCCCAATCGCAGTCAAGCCAGCGTCTACTTGCTCACTGCTCTTCTCGCTGCCTTTTCATGTCCCACCCACACCGCAACCACAATTTCACTCCTGATTGCATGTAAGTCGCACACAAAGTTTCATGTTATGAACTATTCCATCCAAACAGCATTCCAGACGCCTCAATTGTCGCGATAACGAAATGGCGATGACACCGGAGGACATGGAGGTGAGGCTGAAGGAGATGGTGCTGAAGGTGCAGCTGGGGGAGATGGCGGGCGGCGAGGGCGAGCGCGTGGCGGCGTTGGAGGCGAAGCTGAGGGAGCAGGGCGACGCCATGGCTGCCATGCAGCGTGACATTGCCGACATGCGCCGCGCCACGGCGGCGACGGGCGCTTTGGGGGAGAATGATACCGTAGCGAGGGGGAAGCAGCAGGAAAATGGATTCGCGTCACTGGTGCCTCGCGGGGCCTTCGCGAATTCTTTCACGGGGATTTGACTGAGATTTCACTGACCAATCAGAAATGTGCACTGCTGGACTTGAACCTTGCCCTTCAAAATAGAATTCGGGTTGGAAAAGCAATCCGCGGCACGATGACCGAAGTGCCCGCAATAGCCGCATTTGCCACCAAATCCACGTTTATCCGCTCCCACGTTATCTCCATGGTCGTTTTCTCCCGTTTTCCCTTGGTAGTTCTTGCTCCTCGGGTTCTCATAGCAGTTAATCGCCTTATGCCCCCTCTTTCCGCAGTGGAAGCACGCTCCAAACACCTTTGTTGCAGTTGCATTCACCATACCAGGTTTCTCGTCTTCAATCTCCTTAGCCGCCTTCTTCCTCCTTATCTCCTTCACCGTCTCAAGAGATTGTAGAATCTCCTGCAGCTTCATCAGGTTCTTTGGTGGTTGATACGTGAACATCCCAACGTCGGATTCGCACTCCCTAAGAAGTCCTTCAACGATGTAGTCGATCATCGCTTGCTCCGACTCCGCGGCTCCCATCACCCGCAGGTCGTCGTTGTAGCTTTTTGCCCTGTTGATGTAGGTAATAATGTTCTCACCCTTCTCCATGCTCAGCATCAGCAGTTGCTTTCTCACGGTCTTCCTGCTAGTATCATTGGTGCCCATGTAGGTGGACTCCAAGTACTCCCAAGCTTGTTGTGCCGGATTCAGCTCCCCTGCAAATTGGTCCAAATCCACCGCAATAGTATCAGCAACCGAATCGCAAAGTTGAAAGAACGCGTTCTTACTTTGCTTCGTAAGCAATGCCACATTTTTCGGCGGATCCGTCTTGGAAGGTGGAACTCCCTCCTTCGTCTCTTCATCGGGACGGTAGAATGGTAGGAGCTCAACCTCCTCTGCCCTCCGGATAAACTTCTTCCGCCACACGTTGTAGTTGCTTCCCTTGAAGCGTTGGGCTTCACTGAGCCCGATCGTCGGCTTCGTCACCACACGGACACTCGCAAGTGCCTCAAGAAGCGCCTTCATCTCCTGGTTTTCAAAACTCACGCTGGAACCTGAACTTGCCTCGTCCGTCATGGCGTAGGCATGAAGAACTCTTTTTCTTCACCGATTCACTTAACAACGAGTAGTGCACGCCCGTTCTTCTTGACGAGTAGCGCACGCCCATTCTCCAAGCTCTGGTACCAACTGTCAGGATCGTAGGCGCCTCATTCGACAAGAGTCTGCTTGCTATTGTCGATGACATTGTCCTCGTTCTCACGATTCCAACGATATGCGCAACGGCTAATTCTGTCAACGTTTCACTAACGTTTGACTGTTTTCTGTCTCACCAATGCTTGATCGGCGCTTCACTGGCGCTCTGTGGAGGAATTCGGTTCGCGATTCGTTCACTAGAGTCTGGCCTTCACACTGAAATTCGCGTCACTGGTGCCTCGCGGGGCCTTCGCAAATGCTTTCGCGGGGATTTGACTGAGATTTCAGTGAACAATCAGAATTGTGCACTGCTGTACTTCAACCTTGCCCTTCAAAATAGAATTTTGACAAGGTTGTATTTCCAAACAACTACAACAAACTTATACTACCCCCAATGCACACAAGTACCCCTAACCAAAAACGTGTCACACAAGCAAACTCCTAGTAACCAAACTTGTCCCACACGCCAGGTGTCACGTCGAGTCGCACACGCAACCCCAACACTTTCGTCGAACACTCCCCAAGTCCGAAAAACGGAAACTTGTAAACCACGCTATCATTTCAACCCCAATTTCTTCCCCGTCAATCCATTCTTCTCCTCTAGCCATTTCTTCACCATTCTTCCTCACGTTTCTTCCCATCTTTTACTCCCGTAGCCCATAACTTAGCACACACGCCAAGTCACTTTAGGAACTTCTTAGCTTCTTCGTTTATCTCTTTCCACATGCCACCGTGTAGTTTTCGCCGTAGGTCCGAATGTAGCCGTCGCGTAGTGTGGTTCCACGAAGCACCTCTAACAGGGTGAAGAAGCGAAAGGCATTGGCGCGCAGCCACTGAAAGGTGTGCAGGATAACGTGTTCGCTGCGATTGAAGTGGAGGAGATGAAGGCGCAGGTGGACGCGGCGAGGGGGGAGGCGAGTGAGGTGCGCGGAGAGGTGGGCACGCTGAAGGCGGAGCTTGCGCAGATGAGAGCTTCGGTGGAGCGGCAGGCGGCGGAGGTGGCGTACGTGAAGGCGACGGCGGCGCACTCGGAGGCGCGCATCAACCACGTCGAGCTGGCGCTCGCCGCCATCAAGAAGAGCCGCGCCGAGCGCGAGGCGGGCAGCCGGGGGGAGCATGCGGGGGAAGAGACGCGCGCGGGGAAGAGGCGGAAAAGGGAGGAGGGGGGAGACAAAGGGGGCATGGCAGATGCCCTGATCGCTAGTGGTGATTCGCTCGAACAACAGCGGGATGAGGCGGAACGGGGTGCGCGAAGCGTACTCGAGGAAAAATGGGTGAGGCGTGTGACACGGAGGTTCAGATGCAAGGGCTGAGGGCGCGAGTAGAAGCACTGGAGAATACGAGTGCTGGAGGTGTCAACATATATTTTATATGTGTTGTTTAGGTTAGTCTAGGTGTTACATTTCTACTTCCTTGCATGATTAGGGTTTGCTATATCTAGGGTTGTACTTCACATTTTCTATCAATTTATTACATTATAACATGGTATAGAGCTTGGTTCACCCTAGCGAGATTTTTCCCCTAAGGAAATTCTCTCGACTAAGTTATGGGCCCACCTAGACGCGCCCCGTACTAGATAGTCGCCCGTAGCGCGCTTAGCCTGCCCGTCGCCCGGTTCCCCCCACCCCCCCGCCGTCGCCCGTGGCCCGTTTCCCCCAGTCGCGCGCTGCCCGTTTTCTCCCCGTCATCCGTCGCCCGTCGATTTACGGGCGCGCCGGCTGATCGTTAGAAGGCCCCGCGGCCATTTCGATAGCGGGCCCCGCGGCCCTTTCGATAGCGGGCCCCGCGGCCCCGTTGTTAGTCGCACGCACGCACAGCAGCAGCCGCGCGCACGTGCAAATCGTCGCCCCACCCGTTACCCGCCGCCTTAAATGCTGCCCCACCCTTTTACCACTGCCTTACCCGCCGCCCCATCTGTTAGCCGCTGCCCCACCCGTCACCCGTCGCCCCACGAGCTGAAACCGCCACCACACCTGCAATCCGCCGCCCCACGAGTTGAAACCGCCACCACACCTGAAATCCGCCGCCCCACGAGTTGAAACCCGCCGCCCCACCTGACACCCGCTGCCCCACGAGCTGCCTCACCCGCCGGCCCACCAGTTAGCCTCAGCCCCACCAACTAGCAACACCTGGAAACCAGAGTCTATCACCCGTACCCGCAGAACCGCACAGAACCGCACAGAACCGCACAAAACCGCACAGAATCGCACTCCACCCGTGCTAGCTCCCCTGGAACTGCACAGAACCGCGCTTCACCCGTGCTAGCTCCCCTGGAACCGCACACAACTGCACAGAACTGCACAGAACCGCACTCCACACGTACTAGAATAGGCTGCCCCCAGAGCACCAGCAGCAGCTTAGGCTGCCCCCAGCAAAACCAGCAGCAGCGTAGGCTGCCCCCAGCAGAATGAGCAGCAGCTTAGGCTGCCCCCCCAGCAGCACCAGCAGCAGCGTAGGCTGCCCCCAGCAGAACCAGCAGCAGCTTCAGCTGCCCCCAGCAGAACCACCAGCGGCGTAGGCTGCCCCCAGCAGAACCAACAGCAGCAAAGGCTGCCCCCAGTGCACCAGCAGCAGCTTAGGCTACCACCAGCGCAACCCCCCCCGTATCTAGCTCCTCAGATGGCGTGTACTAGAGTTCTACAGCAGCAGGGCCAGCCGCAGCACTCTCGGAAGTGGGGACCTGCGGGTCCAAAGTGTGGCGCCCCCAGCAGTGACTCAGCAGGCAGTGAGCGAGATGTCGGCCCCTGCGGGTACCGGGCCCTGACAGGCCCTGGTGCTGGCACTACCTGCTGGAGTCCTGACCACTCTGCGTCCAGCTGCTACCGTCGACTCGACGACCTCCACCGTGAGCGTTTTGGTCCTCACGCCATTACACCGCACTGGCCCTCACGTCTTCGCCAGCGCACTGCTACACCAGTTGAGTCTCACCTGCCTGGTCTAGGACCGTTCCCGTCTGCACGAGTAGAGACCTGTGTTTACAGTCTTGGTGCGTGTGTTGTTTCCAGTCCAGGCGCCTCTGAGGGTCTTTGTGTAGGAGCTGCAGCTACCGCTAGTCTAGCACCAGCCTTTGTAGCTAGTTCGGGTGCGACCCCACAGACTGCACGGCTTTCCTTCACCCTAGACTCTGGAGCGTCCAGTTGTTTCTTTCGCGAGTGTACTGACCTCACACCTCTGCGCACTCCAGTCACTGTCGCCTTGGCTGACCCCTCTGTGGGACGTGTAGTTGCTCGCAGCACCACCACTCTCCCGTGTCCGGCGGCTCCCTCAGGTTTTCTTACAGGTTACTACACCCCCTCGTTCTCTAGGAACCTGGTGGGTGTCAGTCACCTCCACGACCTAGGAGTAGTCACCACTTTCCCACTGGACGAGCCTGTTGCCTCCTGCACAGTCGGTAGCACTGCGGCCCCTCTGGCCACTTTTCACAGGGAGCCGGGCTCTGGTCTGTACTCACTACACACTGGGTCCCACCGCACTGGGTCGGGCCAGGTCAGGTCAGGTCAGGTAGCTGCTGTGTCGTGCGATTGTCGCTCCCTCACCCACCCGTCTGTCCTCTGGCACCACCGTCTAGGTCACCCGTCGTTCCCACGTCTCATTAGGATGGCACGTTACCGTCTGGTCTCAGGTCTCCCAGAGTCGCTTGCCCCGCTTCCTCGCTCGCCTGCGCCGCTGTGCACTCCTTGCGTCGAGGGTCGGCAGCGCGCTGCCCCTCACTCCTCCTCGTCCCCCCCCACCACAGCTCCCTTCCAGACCCTGCACTTGGACGTCTGGGGCCCCTCCCTGGTCCTTGGACCACGTCAGGAGCGCTACTTCCTGAGTGTGGTGGATGACTACTCCCGCTACACCACGGTTTTCCCCTTGCGACGGAAGGCCGACGTGCCTACCGTCCTAGAGCCGTGGCTACTAGCGTGGGGTGGTGCCCATGGCCTGTGTGGGCTTCGCCTACACTCGGACCGTGGTGGTGAGTTTTCTTCCACTCGTTTGGAGACGTTCTGTCAGGGTCGGGGAGTCATTCAGTCGTACACGTTACCAGCCTCACTGCAGCAAAACGGGGTAGCCGAGCGTCGCATCGGCCTGGTCATGGAGGTTGCCCGGACCTCCATGTGCCATGCCGGTGCCCCTCAGTTCTTGTGGCCTCATGCGGTCCGCTACGCCGCGCACCAGCTGAACCTGTGGCCCAGTGACGCACGGCCACGGGTGACGCCGGTCTCTCTCTGGTCAGGTTTACAGGGCGTAGCGGCTGACTTCCGCGTCTGGGGTTGTCTGGCTCACGTTCGCGCCCTTGGCGCAAACAAGTTGTCTCCGCGCACTCGTGCCTGCGTCTTTCTTGGCTTCCCGTTGGACGCCTCCGGCTGGGTGTTCTACGACCTGGTCACCTGCGGGTTCTTCGCTTCTCAGGAAGTCACGTTCGACGAGTCTGTCTGTTACTATAGGAGTCGCCCCCACCGAGGTACTGAGGTCTTTTCCCCCCCGCTGTTCCTCACCCTTGAGCCCCCCCCAGTTGCCCCGGTAGCCCCACCCCCTTCGCGTCCTGCCCCGTCAGGTGTGTCGCACGTCACTCCGCAGTCGTCCCCCCCGCAGCGTCCAGTCCCTGTCGTGTCAGGGGGTGCGGGAGGTGCAGTTGCGGAGGGTGAGGGTGCTGGGGCTGCAGGAGCTCGTGGTGTCGGTTCAGGGGGTGCAGTGGGTGTGGGCGTGGAGGTCACTCCTGTGGAGGACACGGCAGCCTCGAGTCGGCGGCCTCGCCCCGCCTCAACCCCCGGCTTCCTGGTCGTCCCGCAGTTCCCTCCTCGTTCTCCTCTGCGGCCGGTTGCTGCGGAGCTTGGGGGTGCTCCTACGGGAGGTACTGGAGGCCCCGGAGGTGTCACTAGTGGAGGTGCTGGTTCTGGGAGTGCTGGAGCTGGAGGCACTGGCACTGTGGCGCCTACACCTCACACTGTACGTTTCCTAACCCGTGAGCAGCATCTCCTTCGGTTGGAGAGGGAGGAGCGTGAGCGGTTTGAGAGGGCACAGCAGCAGCAGCAGCACCAGGAGCAGCAGCAGCAGCACCAGCAGCGCCAGCAGGAGCAGCAGCAGCAGCAGCTACAGCAGCAGGAGAGAGTAGAGGAGGAGTCACAGCAGCAGCACGATAGGGTAGAGCAGGAGTCCCGGTCGCAGCAGCGGGTGCAGCTGCAGCCGCAGCAGGAGAGGGTAGAGGAGGAGTAACGGCCGCACCAGGAGAGGGTAGAGCAGGAGTCCAGCCCGCAGCAGCAGGTGCAGTTACAGACCCAGCAGGAGAGAGTACAGGAGGAGTCACGGCCGCACCAGGAGAGGGTAGAGCAGGAGTCCCGCCCGCAGCAGCACGTGCAATTACAGACCCAGCAAGAGAGAGTACAGGAGGAGTCACGACCGCAACAGGAGAGGGTAGCGCAGGAGTCCCGCTCGCAGCAGCGGGTGCAGCTGCAGTCGCAGCAGGAGAGGGCAGAGGCGGAGCCACAGGAGCAGCAGCAGGGGCCGGTGCCGTCGCAGCAGACGCCAGAGGAGGCGGAGCAGCACCGACTGCGACTACACGACCTCCCCGACCCAGCACCTGCACGCTTTGTTCGTGGTCCCCTACCGTCCCCTCCTGTTCCCCCTGTTGAGTCCCTTTCCTCCTCCCATTGGACTCGTCGTTCTCCCCTCGGTCGTGCTGTGTCCCCAGAGCGTCGTCGGTCCCGTTACTGTGCAGACGGTCCGTTCCACCTTGTTCTTCGCTCTCGTGTTCCACCTCCTCCTGTCCTTCCACAACCCCCTGAGTCGTTCCTCACTGTGCTTGACGACCCGTTGTCCGACTACCTCCGTGCCTCCCGTCCTGTCGTCTCTCGTGTTTTGTCCGCGTTGGTGACTCACCCGACTGCACCCCTGTCGTCTGTCTCAGCTCTTGTTACCACTGTCGCTGGCTTTGCCTCTTCCCACCGCCTTGACTACGCCGCTCACTTGGTGAGTGGCCCTGCTCGTTCTCCATTCTCTGGGGGTGCTCCTGTTTTTCCCCTAGAGGTCCTCGAGGACAGGCAGTTCGAGCTTGGTTTTCTTGCGGCCGCTGTTCCTCATCTCTGCGCCATGTTGCTTGCCCCTAAGGGGGATCCAGACGCTCTTGACATCCCGATCCCTCGCACTCACGCCGAGGTGGTCTCGGGACCCTGGGCTTCGTACTGGATAGCAGCTGAGGAGGCAGAGATGGCATCTTATAGGTCCACAGGCACTTACGTCGATGGAGTCCCACCACCTGGGACGAACGTCGTCAGTGGCCGATGGCTCTACAAGGTGAAGCGGCCGCCTGGATCACCACATGTGTTCAAGG